TTAAGATAGGTTAGGGGGGTGGAGGGTAGAGGTAGGGGACACTAAAGCAAAGGGTAAAACCATGTTGAAAAAGTTGGAGTGAGGCATCTCACGGTTGATAGAGGATCATTACAAAAGACTGGTGTATAGGTAAATTTCATTCTCACCTAGCTATGTTTCACGTATGGTAGAGAGCGCACTTGGACCTGAACCAGAACCCCAGTACACACTATCCGCAAGCTGTCAGAAAAAGCTATGATTCTTTGCAATACGCCCTCTCACGCCAACATCTGTTGTTGCCGAAACATTCGCTTGATAGTCTCAGTTCAAATAAGGAGAGGGCCTTCCTACCGGGCGGGTCTATTCCGAGCAGCGATAGTCTATGTGCCAACAGACCCAAGGAAGACTCGGGACGTATGCCGACATGGCTTTCAACTGGAGCGGGGTATGATGGGACGAGCGAAGAGGGACTAAAATTCGAGAAGCCCTTTCTTCTGGAGGACTGAAGACCTTCTTCTGGAGGACAGAAGAAATCAAGAATAATGCCAGTCAAATAAGCGGGGTCACCTGACGTTCACCGGTCGACCCCGGGATAGAGTATTCTCCGGGTCCGACGTCGGCGGTGCTCTGAACCAACAAATCAGGCCGGTTGCCCGTGCCGAAGCCCACTCCGTTGTGACTCCGCTTCGTCGATAAAACCTTTTGTTACTCCGGGTCGTCAGAAAACACGTGGCATTCATCAGCCACGCTACGTTGTTGTTGGGCATTAGGACGAACTAGGACGGGCAACAACGGAACGTATCGTTCAGTGTTGAGGAGTACGCCAGGAGAATCGAGTTTGGCTGTCATCACAACGTCGTCCAACTCCGAAATTCACCCCGCTGTGTCCGCGCGTCGCCCCCTCAATCCCTCTCACACGCCCCCCTTCTCACCCCCCACCGCCTTCGGCCCCCCTTGTTGCGTTCCTCCCTGTATCTTCGCACGCATGTACAAACCCTTGCGTGTGTGCACGCGCGTGCACACCTGTCACCGCTTCTAAAGAGAGACACACCGCAACGGAAACCCCTATAAAATGAAAGCATGTTTTCAAGACTTACCTGCTTTCCTACTCCGGGATGTAGGTTGTACCGGCCGGGCCCAGGCGCACGGACAACGTTTGCTCTAGTCATTGCGCCAGCATCTTTGGGGAACGTGTACTGTGTGGCGGGGCAGTCCGCGAGAGACGGCACGCAGCATAGGGATAGCAACGCCCAAGCATCACAACACGAAACCAGCCAGGAGGACGGCGTTTACGTCGCACCCCAGGATGCCCCCAAGTCTGGATTCGGTTTTTCAAGTTGCGGAGTTCTTTGACCACAGCACCACTGTATTTCACCGTATACACCTGATACATTGTTGTACTTTCTCGAAAGCATGTCCATTTTAACAACGATAACATGGATGTGTGTTGTCGACATGGAGTATAGCTGATAATACATCCCGTGGGACAAGGTAGATTCGACAAAATCTGCGAAAGGACTATATACTTCGTGTGGCGTGCTAGGCAATTCGTTCCCTTGGCCCTCCGTGAACCAAACCGATGTTTTCGGGGGGCAGAAGCGTTGGCGTAGTATGCCGGCTACAGGTCGCCGTCAGCCAAAGGTTACCACCGGGACCTCACATATGTTCACGAATGGCGAGCGTGAAGAACACATACACACGTCGGCATCCACCCCTCACTCCTCGCCACGTCGTTCTCAGACCATGATACGACGCCCACCGAACCTTGGGGGCGTTTTCTTCTTGAGGGTTGACGATGGCCAACTTGTAGTGCCCTGGCCCGGGTTCCAGTTGGCAAGTCCGATCGATCGCCTGCCCGTACGTTTCAAGAGCAGGGGGCGTCATGGCTTCATAGTGTCAATATATTTAGTTTTCCATCCGTGCATCGTGCCAAGTGTCATCCCCCTCTACCGTGACGAGGTTCTACGCAACATCCCTCCACAGCAAAATGAGCTACTGATAATGTCCTTTAGTAATGTTGGAAACACACTTAAGGGTCTTCAAAATCTGTCGTATGACCCAAACACCGTTCATTTGCGTTCGGGGGCAGGGTGAGCGATGGTGGTTGATGCCACGGAGGGAGATGATGTCAGGCGTGTCGCGAACGTAACACTGTTGAAAGGTCTCAGAAAAACGGGGATTTTTCCTACGGGCAGGGGAGGGGTATGGTTCGCACAATGCTTGCTCGAAAACGCTTTCGTTTTAACCGTCGTAACAGCAATCTGCATCATCACACCACACCACCACATCACATCAACATCGTCAACGCCACCACCACTACTTCCTGGGCGAAGAGACGCGCCTGAGCGATGGGGAGTTCTAGACCAGACAGAGAAGGTGCAACAAAAACGTCCGTCCGTAAATATTGCGGATGGTGGAGGGTGAGACACACACACATCACAAACAAACGGGTAAGATCAAACGAGTACGCCCCTCTCACTTTCAAGTCAGGAGATCCGAACTTTTCGCGCCCTCGCATCGTGAAACTTGGAGGAGATCGAATCATGCTGCTGGGGTTAACAAACCTGGTTATGCGACGACGATACCGACGATCGAAACGTGGGATTGTTTTCCCCACAGGAGAGAGCGGGACAAGGACTAACAAGGTTTCCATAGTTGTTATCCCGTGCAGGAAGAATGGTGTTCAATAGAGAATGACAACCGAAAAGTGACCTGCAGATATGCGAGGGTACCTTGCCCATTGCCACAAACAATCGCATCGGGACATTCTGTTCGTGTTTGTTTGTAGGCGGCTTGACTCCGACCGATCCCTCACGGAAGGGCATGCATCTTGGCTCGGCGTGGTTGGGGTCGGCCGTGCTTCTCCTCTTAGCCAACAATGAAAGAGAATCTCCCCGATTTTTTACGAGGTCAGGACTTCCGTCCCTATTCAATTTCTTCCCACGACAGCAAGAGAACCAACAAAGTCGGAAAGGGTGAGCGGCTTTGGATGAGGGCTCTGTGATAAAGAGTCTCTACCAAAGCAAACACTCGCTCGTTAACGGCTGGAACCCTCTTCACTGCCTGGGATAGCGAACTTTTGGGAATCTTTGTCGCCCCTGTGTCAACATGGCAGCTATAGAGGGAGCATTTCGCACGAGCTTTTTTGCTTACATTGTGGATTTGAGTTGGTACGCCCCAGGTCCCGGTGCTTCGGCTCCTCCGTCCTGCAGGGGCGGGCGCCCGGCCGTGCCAAAGCCAATCTGAATGGGAGAAAGCGTGCATACATGTGTCGGTTTAACATGCAAAAGCCGTGAGAGTGTTCCCGCCAATCTGCGGTGATTGATGTACCTGTCGAGCCGTGAAAGTATTGCCGCCAATCTGTGGTGACATATGTATGGTGTCGAGTGGGAGCGGTATTATTTTATCTGTCAATTTCCTTTGCCCGGCTTCAAAGTCTGTCTGGCGGTTGTCTGGGTTGGTTTTCTGTGTCCTTTTGCTTCTATTTGGGATGTGCTCTCAAGGGGTAGCTACTGTAGCCTGTGGCTGTTTCAATGGATCGAGTAGAGATCGGAACGATTTGAGTAATGAAGGTGCCAACAACAATGGCCACAACACCCCAACAACAGAACAGATGATTGACCCAAGAAACTAACTGTGGTTGTCCGAAAACCCGCGGTGGCAATAGTAGGCAACGTCAAATCAATATTTTCTGCGTTCGATAGAGTTTTACTGTAGTTTTCCGGTGATCTGACCCAGGTGGGTGTACCTGGAACCTGGAACACATTATGTATGCAGTCTAGACAATGCTGTTTCAGTGTATTTATTTTTTTCCTTCAAGAACACGACGAACTGTAATCTCTATCCACAGATAAGGGAGGACAACTATTGTTCGAACGTCTACTACGTATGTATGTGTAGTTTTCGCCGTCTCAATTATTTTACCGTTCCTCGCAGTCCGTGCCAGTGTTAGCACTGCCAGGTACTGTCGTCAATTTTCAACATGATGGCTTTCCTGGAAGTACAAAGGATGTGCTTATGACATGCAAGGTTTTCACAAACTGACTTATAGTGCAAGTGTCGTTGCTGCACCTTAGGAGCACTCCGCACGGTCTCGTTGTAGCTATCCATGAGCGTTCTTCTCATCTTCAGCATGTCGAACGACTTGGACTTTGTCGCGGCGGGCAGGTACTCTCCACCAAGCCTGCCGCGGCCGCGCGAAATAAGCGACCCCACCGGGTAATGTTGTCGACCATCGTTCATATACTCGAAATCGTGTTCTTGAATACTATGCATATACTACACGTACCTGTCCTCTGCAGCTTTGGACGAGCAAGACTTTCCACTCGTCATCTCGATCACTCTCGTTGTACAGACTGTGTCCCTAATTTTTCACGTAGCTCTCGATGGTTGCGCTGTTTTCAAATACAACAATAATCCCACGTGGTCTTGTAGGCCTACAACGCCTCGATGAAATTTCTCACAACAGATAACCAAAGAAGACACGCCATTCTACCCTGGGCCGTCACAGTCGGAGGCCTGTCGGAATTGTGCGACCGACGCACCTACCAAAGACGCGGTCGTGTAGCGACACAGCCAATTGAAAGCTATCACTATCTCACGAAAAAGCTACAAGGCATCTAGCTCACCCGCCCTTGCATACCTGTTGGAGACAAGGTCCGCCCTGCTATTCTGTTGAGCAGTCATCGCCATCCTCTCTCGCAATTCCCTACGATAGCAGAGCTCGGCCCGCAACCACGCGCGGTGCCTTCCTTGCCCGCGACCTGGCGGATGCCTCAGAATTGCTCACAACTCCAACAGACCGAGGTTATTCGGATAGAGGCCTTCCTACAGCATGTGTGCTACACTTTGCTCGTCTTACACCACCCACACGACAACAAAATGCTGTAGACATTCATTCTTTGCGTGCCTGGCAGTGACTCGAACCACATGCCAGCGCGCAGATGTCCCGGATCGAAACGGTTTTCTCCCAACCGACACATGTTGCGCCGCACCCAGATACCTCCGTTCGTGCCCGTGTATCTCTTGGCACACCCTCCTGTCAAGGCTCCAAGCTATTCCAATTGTTGACAAAAGGGGTCGAGAACCCAGGTGAGAGGTATGGGGGACGATGGCTGCAGTGCTTCCGAACTCCGACGTCGGTATCACATGGGAGGAGATCTAAAGGATGATTCTTTGACCGCACCACAGCTTCGAGCCCGGTACGGTATCAAGAAGAACACGGCAGGTGCGTCCGCAACCCGATGCAGTTACTTGTATGATGATGGGAGTTGCTCGGAGAAGTTCTGACTCTGTGTGTAGAAGGGGGCATGTTTGTGGTGAAGGGCCTGTAGGGTTCAAACCAAGCCGAAGGAATACGCACTACGGTTGTATGTAGTCTACACCGTGTGGCGAACAAGTTCTGATCACAATCGCGTTTTGTTGAATAGACTCAAGAGTACCGTAGTGCTGTAGTCCACACTCGTTATGGGTCATTTTGATTATTTGTGACTTTGCGGAAGTGTGTTAGGGTTAGTAGCCTGTGGCCAAGGACAACGTCCACTTCAGTTAGACCGAGTACGCCACGATGTACTGCGCAGAGATCGAAAGAGTTCTACACTGCTGTCGTCTAAAAGTTCCGACAAATGGATAACGCCACCCGAGCGGCTTCCATACTTGCACCACCAGCAACGCCATACACTTTCATCGAACGTTGTACCGCGTCCGCAGATGTAGTCTTAGGCTTGGTGAATGTACCAACGGCGAAATTATTGATTATGTAGTCTAGACGGGGAATTCCTCACTCAGGTACGTTTTGGACCGCTGTTGGCAGGTCTACGGTATCCTTCTTCAATAGATTTACATGTCTAATATCAAAGGTGGGTATACTTAACGACAGATAATGCCGTTCTCCGTTCGGTTGGTGTTAAGAAGCCCGATGACCATTAGACTACGTGGTGTAGATCATCGTGCTTCTTAACAAGAGTTAATGCCCGAGTCTGTCAAGCTTTCTTTCAAGCCACGAACACGTCCCCCCGGGGTTGCCATCCTTCCCTCTGATCAGCGCTGTCTTGCCCGATCCATGATCGGTGTACCATGTCCAAAGAGAGACTCATCGGCATATTTTGTGAAGTCCACGACTTTTCCCATAGACATAGGGCGCAAATAACATCCTGAAAGGATATAGCGCTCAAAGGGAGATTCGAACCCCGGGCATTAGCTTTTGTTAAGAAGCACGATGACCCAACCTCGATTAGATCTATGCCTATGAGGGATACTTTGCGTGGAAGGTCCGTCTAACCATATCGATCAGAGTCTTTAAGGAAGTGTGGTGTTGAACAGCACAGCAACCACCTACTTGGCTCTTCAGCTTTTGGTTCTGACTTGACTATTATCCTGCCCTCAAACTGCGATGCTGCTTGCTATTAATCAAACCAGAATTCAGCACCAAGACCGGCGGAGCGCGGAGCGGGGATATGACGTCGTCCGTTTGGCCATTGGCGGCCGTGCTTGCTCTGGTATTGGTAGCAATCCTTTTCGCGGTGCGCACAGGCGGCAGCAAATAGTCCGCGTTGTAGACAGTAGACCAACTCTGCGCGTGCTTGGGCCAGCTGAGAAGGTTTTGGTTGCGTCGCAGCGCGTGACGTCTGGCTCGAATAATATTGAAAGTCGTTGTCAGCGCGAGGGCAACGACGGGTTGTTGGTATTATCATTCTGTTTGCGAATGTATACATATCTGTATTGTGAACAGGAGGAAGAATCTGGTATTTCCACTGTGCCACGGGAGCAAGCTATAGGTCTAAACCCTCTCACGCGCGGAGATACGCTTGTTGTTGATATGGAGGACGCTATTCCTATTTTGAGTTATATATTTCTCGGGTACATCGGCGTTGTGAGCTTCAAGGTTTGAAAGCTGTCGCGTTTGTTACTCGGGAGACGGGGGGGGGATGTCGAGACGTCTATTACTTGGGCGACGCAAATAGAAAATTAGTGGCAATATGCTCGCCACGTTGAAGACGTCGTCCGCGTTGATCGGTTCTGAGAACGATGCAAAGGTGCGCAATGAAATATTTGCTATCTAGTTTCTTCATGGTTAGCACCCCCTGTCGAGTTTCAAAGTCCACAACTGTGTTGTGGCCTGATAGCATTCAGTGGACAGCACGCTTGAAATGTGATCTGCAGACCTGATAGGAAATAATAAAAAAAATACAAGCTGATGCAACCAAGGGTGGGCATTTACACGCCCCTGGTCCTCGGAACGTGCTTCTGTCAACCTTCTGCCTTCGCTTGTACGCTACGGTAAGAACGCACTGACGCGCGTTTTCACGGAGACGTCCGGATCGTAAATCATCACACGACCACCACGCGGCCCAGTATCACTCACATCACGGCCCGATATCAATTTTTTCCATGCAGAAGGCAGTTGATATCAAGCTGTGAAAAAAGTTGTTTTCTCACCCAATATTTAAGTCAAAAGTCATTGAACCAGGAAAGAACTTGCTAGCAACTCTTTTTCCGGTTTGAAGTCCCACGCTACCTCCGTATCGCCGAAAGGAGGGACTGTATTTCACGTGTCAGACCGAGTCTCGCTTTCATCACGGGCTGGGTGGCCTGCTTCATTCTCGCAAAAGACGAAATGTCGTACGAATGGCCGTGTTCTCTTTCAGTGGTACCCTGCCTATGGTTGTCTGATTCATCCTGTCCAAGGGAATCCACACGGCCTGCATTATACTCTATCGGGGACCGTAGCGCGTTGCGATGTCTTCCCCTTCCCCCATGTCCCTTGTTCCCCTGTTGGTTTGATCGCGCTTGGGGATGTCTCGTGCTACCGGCAGCCTCTTTGCCTGTTGTTGCCATTGAAAATTCTGCTAGGCAACTTTTATCCGGTCTCCGGCGCTCCCGCCGCCTCCCGCAGTTGGGGCAACCTTTTGCCCCGTCGATCTCATGGTTCGTCTGGAGGCAAGCGGAACACGCCCAGACTTGAGATTTCTCGAGAATTTTGTCGTCGTTTTCCTCGACGTTTGCACCAACGGTTGCTTCGAAAGACCTGCTTCTCTCTGTCAGCTGCTTCTGGGTCCGTGACCCGCCACCGACTGTTCTTCTGGCAGAGAGGATCTCGGGATCCTTCCCCCCGACCCCCTCTGGTCCCTCGTCTTTCTCTCCCTCGTCGTCCAGCAAAAAACGAACCACTCTTGCTCGAGGACCGGGTCCAACAGAGCAAGACGAGGTGATGCAGGCGTGGTTTCCTTCTTCGCCGCCGCGTTGCGCCGAAACTGGAGGAAATAGCACCCCAACACGGCTCTTCCCCGGTGTTGCTGGCGCCGGGTTTATAGCGGTGGTGTTTGCTTGTTTGAGGTTCTTTGTCGTTGTCTTTCTCACCTCGATGCCCTCTGCGGTATTTGAGGGGCTAGAGGACCTATCGTTCCCGAAATTAAAGGGATGGGGAAGTTTTGACTTGTCGTAGTCTACGTGGCTGCTGGTACCGCTGGGGTCGCACCAGATACTGTCACTTGAGCTATCGTCACTCGTCGTGTCCCCTGATTCGTTGCGATGCACCGTCGTCTTCGGTTGTCTCTCCTCTCTCTCTCGTGCCCTTCGAGTTAAAGCATTTCTACCTAATGCCTGCCCCGCATCCAGTTTCGATCCTCGGAATGGAGCACTACTGCTATTAGCCCAACGGCCTGCCAACGATTCACGATGACCTCCCTGTCCACCGTCTGCCGCCAGAACAGAAGAAACGCCGCCAACCTCACTTCTCTTGTTCCGGCTGCCGTGGAGCGTTTCCTTCATTTTCGTTCGGATACTTTGGCTGTTGCTCGCGCCCTTGTGCCCATGGTGCGAAGCGGTGGCGGCAACGACGCGGTTTTTGCCAACCCCCATCCTCGCCATTGGCACGCCACTTACTTCTCCCCTCTCTGTAGTGGCGATGGTGGTGGTGGTGGTGGTGGTGGTTGGAGATGCCGTGGCGGAGGCAAGGAGATCTATCTGACGGGCCACTTGTCGTCGTAGCCGGCATACGATGGGCGAAGATGGCATGGGGTCTAGTATTCCGCATAAATACCTTGTGTCATATGGTCGCAGGTTTGATTCCAGCCGCCCCGTGCGAGAAGGGGTATACAAGACAGGGGAGGAAGAAGAGATAGGGGTGAGGGGTTGGGTGGCGAGTAAGGGCTTCGAAACTCGAGTGCCAAAGGTAAGCCACAGATTTCGTGAGTTGCTAGAAAACCAACCCGTGCTTTGCTGCTAGAAACCTGCTGCGCGGCAGTTCCACTACCGAAACCCACAACGCTCTCAAGAGGAAAACAAGCGACATGTGACCGAAAACATATCATGTTTTTTCGCGGGCCGAGCGATTGTTGTGGGGGCGGCAAAGGAGACAACCATCCGCAACACACCCTATTTACATGGAACGTGGACTCTGTTGATGAAATGAGACTGACGAAACTAAATTTGGTCGTGCTCTTGACTTCAAGTGCAACGAGGGGAAGACAGGCAGCTGTTGCGCTCCGAAGAATGTTACTCTGAACGAGTCCGACGCAAAAAAAACATGAGCCCCCTTTCACCACGACTTCGGACTAACGTAAGCGATGCTGGCTCACTTTTCAGACAGATGTGCGGCGAATTCCGCGCAAGGTCGTGAAGACGACGACGCCCTCCAGCCTTCAACCTCACGTTCGAAGTTGGCAAAGCTCGCAGTAGCAATTGCGTCGTTTTCAGCCCTGGTACCGCCCAAATTCACCACAGCTGCGCGAAGGAATTTTTGGTCGGCGGCAAGCGTATTTGAGGCCAGGCGTGCGACAAACCTACTTGAAGGCTCTACCCCACGTTTCTTGAGAAACAATCCTCTGGAATGGTTCCAAGACACGGTTCTGTTCCTTTGCCCCCGACATGACGCTCTTCCTCGTACCATCTAGATCCGCTGCCAAGCCCTTATCGCTTTCAGCCTGGTCGAGAGACATTTCATCTTTCGCACAGGGCTCTTGCACCCGAACCTGTTCTTCCATCGCTGTGTGACCTATACCAATAGACGGGTGAGCAAACCTCATTTCGAATGGGTTGTGCGGGTTGGCGGGCTCGACCGTCTTCCTTGAGTTGCGTTCGCGACAAGAGCAGTAGAAGCGATGGGAATGCTTAGTATCAACGTGTGGATCCGCCACTTCTGCTTGTTCACCAACAATACGGCTGTGGCTGGTTGCGTGCTCACCGTCCGCTTTGGGTGATGCAGTCTCAGACGACGAAGCTGACATTGCCCAAGATGTACGACGTTGATCATAGTCGTCCCAGAACGGTCCTCTTTCTCGGGTCTCCCATGGTCTCCTGAAAAACGAGGTGATGGATCGACACCAGGTGATGACATAAACCCTGTTTGCTAAAAATGATATATAGACTTGACGATTACCGACCCTCCATTCGCAAGTCATTCGGAGTTGTCGAGCCAACACCTGCATTTTTCACAAATCTCGGGACTATGGCCCTCTTTGTCTAAAGCTCTCTCAAACAAAGCGTACCAAAGCTATCTGAGTGCGTGACGATCTTATCGAAATCCTGCACTTGTCGAAGGAAAACACGGGTGGTCGGGGGGGTGCAGGGTGTAGGTTGAGCACCAAATGCAACCTCTCGAAGGTAGCTGTGGGCGGTTGGGAGGAAAAGCTTGATCTGTCATTTCTTCTTTGCGCTACACTAGAATACATACCAGAGCCCACCGTGATGGTTTGATCAATCCTTCAATTAACAACATATTCGCCTGATTGAGAGCGTAGCATCTGATTGAGAGCGAGATTGCGCGATACGCTGTAGCCGGACTACCACTGAGAGGTGGAGCTTGCTGTGTAGCTTGAATTGAAGGGCTAGCCCGTAGCTTCAAGCCGCTACCCTGGTCATCCTGTGGGAGTCTCTCGTTGTGGAGCTACAGCGGGGAGCAGAAGCTACAGCAGAGCCCACCGCCCGACGCGATACCGCCCTGAAACAGTTTGAGCAGAAATAGCCAATCTGGGCAAATCTAGCAACTTGTCTAGCTCCTCGCTGCAGCATCCGATGACGATGACACGCATATGCTCGCGAAGCTGCTGATGAGACCTTCAATTTGCACCGCTTCTTGGAATAGCCCGTCCCCTACTTGCCAAGAAATGGCAAGAGGCGTCTGGACCCGAAATTTCAATTTTTTTGGCTCTCGCTCTCAATCAGATACTTCGCTCTCAATCAGGCGAATATGTTGTTAATTGTGGAAGACAAGAGGTTGTTGCTGTATTCGGTGACGTATACTTTTAAGCTGAACTTTGTGCTCTCTCGTTCTGATACCTTTGGCCAACTGTGCAGCCTTGTCGTTGTCGATATATCTGCATGCATCGCACCTCCCTCTAATATGTTCGCAATGAGAATTGTCTTCAGTCAAATGCCCCAATAAAAAAAATGGACGAGCGATCCTCGGGAGTACGTTAATCGAAAAAAAATCATGTTGCGGCAAACTTGCTGCCCGACATGCAAAAGGAAATAAATGTATGGACGTACAATGAAAGCTCGCCCTCAAGCAACGACGTTTTTCTTGCCGCTTCACCAAGAAGCGCCCGATCATGTCCCGACTCTCCGTCGTCTTCAGTTGTAGAACTTTGTTTTGACCCGGAGACAGGTGCAGGACTCGCTCCACTGCGAATCTGCAAGAAACAAGAACATGCAGTTCACGCTCAATTCGGAGCCAACCCTGTGTGTATCGCAGATCTCCGGTCGCCGGAACATTTCAACACCAAATACTACGTACTTCTAGGTGGCACGGCGTGAGAGAAGGCTCGACCTCAGATCAGGTCTACTCCGTGCAGCGTAGCCAAGGCTAAAAATATGCTCGTCATCGGCTATGCATCGGATCAATGGTGCAATAGTGGACATGACATTTGTTCTTTGTCAGCTTTCATGCCAGCATGGCCGACGGAATCTGCTCTTTGTTCTACTGTCTGTGCGCGACAAGATCCAATCCTTGAACCGGAATCTACCAACTCAGAGCACAAACGATCGATCATGTTGCCACGTCGCCTTTAGGGGGTGACAGAGATGGTAGATATTAACAAAGACAGCATACTGTGGATCACCTTTTGAACATCAAGCAGGCATCCTTCCAGGAGCTCTAAAGT